AAACCAGAGGAGGCCACAGTCATGAACGGGAATGGCCCGTCCGGAAGGGCTAATCAAAACAGCAGCTGGATTCAAGGCAAGAAATGTGATAATTAATACGACTGAGCTTGTCTGCCTCTCTCCGGATGTGGCGGGCTCACAGAGGTGGTAAAGATCACAGTTGTAACTGGGAGCTGAACGCGATTTTTAAAACGTATAAAAGAACAGAGCGTAACAGTTTCTTTGTCTTTAGCTTACTTCAAGGGGAACGCCCGGAACTGGCTGCGTTTGTCGGAGCCCGTGTGTTTTGCTCTTGTGTCGGTGACTGTCACGACGTCCCTCCCGTGAAACTTTTTTCACCTAAAGCACTTCGTGTTTTCGTTATCCTCGAATATATAAGCTGGAGACGGTGTGTGTGTGAAGAGAAAAACAACCGATTATTCCAGATTTCAAAAATAAGAATTGTACTTTCCGTTGTGCAGGAAGGCAAGCTTTGTTGGATGATTTAAAAGATATTTAGAGATATTGAGATATAACAAGATATTTAAAAGCAAATATCTCAGTCCGTTATTTTGCTTCGCAGTAGGGGAGTAAAGATTTTATTTTAATTAGTTTATACTATACTGTAATAAACATGCTTGCGAAGGGTGGTTTTGATTTTATTGTGATGTCGGAGGGGAGTTTTTTTATGATTTACTGAACAAAAAGCTGTTGGAGAATAAAGGAAGTTCTCCTTAAGACTGGAAGAATTCAGGAACTTGTTATACAAATAACGCTGGAAAGCATTTATAATTCATTGTCTAGATGTTTTATCAATATCCTTTAAAATAATAAGATCTTAATTGTAGGCACACGGTAGAGACTGTGTGCAGCCTTAAACTCGCGTTTGAAGCAAAAGACTGTTTGCAAAGCAAATATCAAACAGAAATAAGTATTTGCTTGGAAATTGTTTGGGAAAAGCGGAGAGGAAACGTAACAATGAAGCCTTTTATAACTGTAGCCGAGCACACAAAGGATAAAGCTGATAAGACACTCCGCAAAGAACCCGAGAATGCGAGGGTTTGAAAGGCTTATCTCTCGTGTGTGGCAAAACGATATAGAGGTAAAATGATAAAGAAATACGCGCCTGGCTCTCGAGAGAAAAGATTGTTAAAATCAAACTGCTGGCATTGATTATATTTCTTCACTTTTTTTTAAAACTAGGAACATACACCTGAGAGATTTTCAAATGCGCTTTTATGATAATTACTGCTCCATAATCAGCCTTTTCAGTAGATCAAAAGCTTTTCTCTCCCTGAGTTTAATAAAGCCGATCCACTCCCTCCGCCCCCATCCTTTTTTTAATAGAGAGGTTCCATTAAGCTAAAAAATAAAGAACAGCTTCCCCTTCTCCTCTCGCGGCTGACCGGCGATATCACGGCTACATAAAGACTTTCGTGGAGGTAGTTTGCTATTGAAAATATATTGACCTTGAGGGCTTTGAAACCGCTACCCGTAACGCCACGACAAGGTCTCGGAAGGTTATGCAGCTCTGTGATTAAACGCGCACCTGGCCCTCCTTGGTTCAATTGTTAAAAGCGCTGAAGTGCCAGCGAAGTTCTCCAGTTCTCATAATTTACACAACACGAATGTTTAGACCTTTCAAAACCACGCAATTTAGAAATGAAGACTTAACACCCACATTAAACAAGATATGTGTGCTTGTGCAGGCTCTTTAATGAGGAGCTAGTTTCCAGTAAGCTGGCTGCCCAGAGGACCTCGGTCGATAACGTAGGATGGGCTGTTGGACTGTTACTCAAGGCCCCCCTTAATTATTACTTCTTAACACAAATGAAAGTTCTTGCCTCATTAACCAACATGCAGTTGGTTAGTTCTTATTCTTGAAGTCTGGAAGGCGTTCATGGTTCCAATTCAAAGTCTATCTGCTCCTTTATCTGAAGTTATTGGTTTTCAACTTTCAGCCTTGCTGCTGGATGAGGCCTTTTTAGACCACCAGCTTTCTGAACAGCGTTGAATATAGTTTTTTTTTTATTTCCTCTTCCTAGAGGAATTTTGTCCAGTCCTAGTCCCAGAGGGAAGATGTGTCTGCAAGGTTTCTGTAACCTTTCTTTAGGTCTCTTTAAGATGTTAAACTGGCCCAATTAAATTGAGCTGGTTGAGCTCATTAAGAGCCAAGTTGAAAGAAACTTGTAAATGCACTGTTCTGCCACTTGTTTTAAAACCCACACTGGTGTGGAAAAAAATGAAGTCAGAAATTATTAGTATGGATGTGAGGATGCACTTATACGCTCTTAGAGTTTCTGAATGTGCAATATTCCCATGGCTTTCCATTATGAACGTTTATCCTGGCATATCAGCACAGCATTTTCATTCATGCTATGCCCTTACTTGGTTGGATTTCCATAGTTCATGGTATTATAGCAAGTAGTTATAATAAGTTATTTAATAACTGTCCTTGTATTGTTG